CACACACACACACACACACACACACAACTTACACATTATACCCAGCCCCTCTGAGATCCTCCAAGATCTGCAAGGGGTTCATGACCTTGCCCTCATTGGTCAGGTCAGGAACGTTGCGCCGAGAATAGATGAGGTGGACTTTGGCCATGACCTCTCCCCCAAGGTCGTGCAGCTCTCTCACGCTGCGACCCAAGTGTTCGTCAAAGTCTGCGCTAGATGCTGGCGGCATGACAGCTGCAAAAAATTCAAATGATTGTAAATGTTCTAAGGCCCTATTGACGCAATTGAGCTGAAGAATTGGGTTATTACTACTGATTTCAGAGAAAAATACAGAAAAAAACTTTTGATGCATAGCCTGTCTAAAGGTATGAATGTTTCCCAGACATGGTTGTGTGGAAATGTAGGTATGTCAGTCTGCCATCACATCATTGTGATAGAAAGCATGCTTTTATTTTGTATTTGCTGCTGGGCTGGAAACTGTAGGGTGAAAGATAGAGAAAAATTCGACAGAACCATTAAGAAAGCCAGCAAGATCTCTGGATATGATTTCAGTAGAATTGATGAAATGTATAACACCACAAGTATAAAAAAAGATAAAAAGCATTATAAACGACCCATCACACCCCCTTTCCACGCAAATTGTAAGATCACGCAGCGGCAGATATGTACCTCTAAAAACAAAGAAAGAAAGAAATAAAAGAGGTCTTTTACCATCTAGCATAAGGCTATTGTCAGAATAAGCATCAGTGTTTTTTGCTCTTTTGAGTATGTATCTATATAACTCTAACGGTAGAATTATGCATCTCATGTGATATGTACATTTTGTCAGCTTTACTTCTCTTTTCATATTGAATTTTAATGAGACAAATATATCATCTAAATATCTATGTATACCTGCATGTGTTTTTACGGTCCTGTACAGCCGAGAAAACTTTCCCTCTGGGATAATAAAGTACTATCTATCTTATCTTATCACAGTTGTAGACTGGACTACTCTCAATAGCATACAGACTAAAGACAACTCACCCTGAATCTCTGGGATGGAAACAATGTGAAAGTTTTGATCACACTGTAAAAATGGTGCCTTCATGTCCAAAGCTCGTTTCACTTTGGACGCGGTAAACATGCAGGGCTCCAGGATAAACTGAAACATAAACCGAAACCCACAAAGTCAAGGCTGTTGTGGAGCTGTCGTGAACTCGCTGACACTGGTTGGCTACACATCTTTGCTGGCACAAGCAATCCACTTATGTACAAACATTAAGAATGTTCTATTTTTACACCCTCCCAAAGCTCCGTCAAGGATGTACTTTTCAACATCACCAAAATGCAGTTAAATGCTACGGCCACAGCTTACAATTTTCTTGCCTTTCATGATTCATGAACTGAACAAAATCACAACAAAACTAGTTTGTTTTGTCTCTGGTGTAAAAAATACCCATACAGACCTAAGTGGATTGCTTGCGGCATCGGCAATATGGTTAGTTCACAATTTCTCGACTGCGCTATCCATGGTGGCTATTATATCTGATTGGTAAAGTCTACTACTACTACAACTACTTTTTTCAGCTGACCAAAGAGGTTATAATTACCTCTTTGCAGCTGAGACACCACCAGTTGCCTCTCTTAGACATAGCAGAAGTTCAAATTAACTTTCGGTTTTTCAATTTTTCTAAACCTATGTATTTGAAGAACTTTCAGTCCGTGCATACTGATTGAGAGTAAAATTAATGTTTTTAAATCACATTATTTTCATTCTCTAAGAGATAAATGAAACACAAAGTTACACTGATAATTTCTAGGGGTTCAAGCATATCAAGACAATTAGTGGATTAAGATTTTCAAAGTCATATCTTTGTGTCTATCTTTATTTTCTACAAGGTTTCTGCAGAACAGGAAAAAGAAAAGTCTTAACACTGCATTCTGGGGTGCAAATCTGGAATCTGAGAGTGCAACACCAACAGCTGAGACATCAGGCCTGGTCATTATTTATGTGACACTGACAATAATAAAATAGACACTTGTACAAAAGCAAACACAGACACAAAAACAAGAACAGAAACAAAAACAAGAAGCAACAAAAACAAACGCAGGCACAAAAACAAAACAGTCCAACACAAAATAGATACAAAAAGCTAAAACAGACACAAAATTTAAAACAAAAACAGCCCCAGAAACAAAAACAGACACAAAAACAGACACAAAAACAGACACAGACACAAAAATGGACAAATGAACAAAATAAAAAAAAATCCATCTGACCTCCGACATGCACTCGAGACACGGCAGCGAGAAGTCGTAAGAGACGCCACTGTACGAGTCGGCGATGAGGGTCTCAAACACCTCGTGCACCAAGAACAGCGTGTTCTCGGGTTTGAACCCCCGGGCTGTGACAATCACCTCTGTCGCACTGTGGACAGATCATCACATGTATGTTTTAGTTTTAGTAAGGTTTTACGGCACTCGCAACTTTATAAGATCATATGAGCGCCAAGGGGTGGATGTCAACAGAGAAGTCCAAATGGGGAATCAGGCTTATTCTGCTCACCTCTCTAGCCTCAACAGCACAAAGTCTGCTTCGACTGTCAAGGTTCCCCAGAAACAGCAGTTCACAAGAGAGTGACAAACATTCAAAAGAAGTAAAGGAAAATGATGGTAGTAAGGATGAGGAAAGAAAAGGCAGCAGTTCCCCCTATGTTGTTCCGGCACAGTATGAGCATGACAATGATAAATCAGCCGATTTACAATTCTACTGTGCATAAGAACATGTTAATATCCCCCCTTTGGGAATGGCCTAAAGACACTTCAGTCAGTAGCACAGCACTTGGGGGGGGGGGGGGGGGGGGGGGACGGGTTTGTAGTATGAAACTTGTCATGTCTTTGGGAAATCAAAAAGTAACCTCTATAGCCTCCCTTTCATTCTTGAACTTTTAATTGGTGAGGTTACAACACATTGATGTGTATTCACATGAGCAGTCTGTGATAGACGATAGTTAAGCTTTTCATTTTGAGCAGGTGAAGGGGAGCAATATGGGATCAACTGAGATCTTGGGTAAAGAATATGTCTTATCTGGCAAAGCCCAGATCGAACCAACAACCCTTTGTTCTTTTAAGTTCAACACCTCTTAAAAAACAAAAACAACCCCCTCCCCCCAAAAAACCCCAACAAACAAAAAAACCCACAAAAAAGCAAACTAGGATACAGCGCAAAGGGGGCAGAGTTCTGCCAATGTAATGCCCAACTTGCTGGAGTTTGTGGTGTAGGTCAAGTTAGATTCCAAAGTGTGGAGAATTTCTACTGAGTATCTTGGTCTGTCTACTGAGTTGTTGTACCTCTCTCAGTCTCGGTTGGCCCTGACAGGCATAAATGAAAAGAAATGGTATGGGTTTAACGCCCCTATCAACACTGTTAGGTCATTTAAGAGGCACAACCTCTAAGTTTAACGTCCGTCTCCGAAAGAACCGAGCCAAGTGGGAAATTAGTGTAAAGTGTCTTTCCCAAGGACACAACGTCGGACCGAGCTGGGGCTCTAACCCCTGAACCCGCAATCTCACGATTACAAGTCAGGTAGTCCGACCACTAGGCCACCGACGCCACCCCTGAAAGGCAGAGTAGAAGACCATTTCCTAAATGATCTAAATTGGGTCAATGTGGGTGTAAAAACAACTGAAAAAAAAAGTACCTGATTTGCAATAGAAGGGCACGGTGGTTGTTCTTTTTGAGCATGAAGCCTTTCTTCCACATGACAGAACTGTCGCTGAACTGATGCAGGCGTGTCTGGAAGGGAGAGAGAGAGAGAGAGAGAGAGAGAAGAAACATTATTTCCTTTGAAAGTAAAAGTATGGTAATGCTGTTAAATGCTGAGAGCAATCGTACAGTGTTTACAGGAGTTTTGAGACAAATTCCATCTCTATCAATACTTCACACAACTCAGTTGGGCTGGCGAACAAGGTAAGTTAGTTTTAGTAAGTATTTTACAGCACTTGAAACACAATAAGGTCATATAAAATATTAGAGGTGTTACAAAGAGTAACAAACAGAAAAAAGAAGGAGGTGAGCTCAGGATGATAGATGTTTGATATGAAAGAAGGAGCAAACCACACTAGAGCACCTACCAACCACCCAAGGAGAACTACTTAAAGTTCTTGGGACCAAACAAGTTGTATTTTCACAGATTTCACGGATCCAGATCCTTGAAGCATGATGTTTCAGAAAAGAGCTTCCAAAACATACTTTAGTCCAGTTGTTTTAGATGTGATAGTCACCATTTCTGTACTGTACACAAACATAGATGAAGGAAATGGAAATAGTATGCGTTCAATTTTGATTTATTTCATCTCAGTTAAACGCTTCACGTTTTTCATCAGGTCTTGTCCTGCCACAACATGTATTTCTCTTAGAAAATACTTCGGCGATGTTGATCTGAAAATAATGTTCTTGTCAGGACTTATCTGTGCTCTGTTGAACAATTAAGAAGATGTAATTGTTCTCAGGACATACTTTTGTCCTGTTGAACTACTGAAGTAATACTGTTGTCTTGAATTACACGTGCTCCATTAAACAGTTAAAGAAATGTAGTTATCTCGACTTATCTACGCTCTGTTCAACTGTTAAAGAAATGTAGTTATCTCGATTTATCTACGCTCTGTTCAACTGTTAAAGAAATGTAGTTATCTCGACTTATCTACGCTCTGTTCAACTGTTAAAGAAATGTAGTTATCTCGACTTATCTACGCTCTGTTCAACTGTTAAAGAAATGTAGTTATCTCGACTTACCCATGCTCTGTTCAACTGTTAAAGAAATGTAGTTATCTCGACTTATCTACGCTCTGTTCAACTGTTAAAGAAATGTAGTTATCTCGACTTACCCATGCTCTGTTCAACTGTTGACGAAACATTACTGTCAATACAAAACTTGGCTCTGTTGATTTATTGAAATAATGTTCTTGTTACAACTTACCTGTGCTCTGTTGGATTCTTGAAGGAATGTTAACTCTTCTTATTTTCGTGGGGGGGGGGGGGTAAACCCACAGTGCCGGGGCCCTATTTTGGTATGAAATCTTATATTAACACTTGAGTCACTAAACTGGTCATTAAATCAAAATAAGTGAACCTATTTCGATAGCTCTTCATGTAATGAATGATTTCCTAGTAAAAGAGACTTGTTTTCGGCTATTGCTGAAAAGTAATTAGATGTCGAAGTTGTCGTAAAGGAATGTTCCCGAGCTGCTGTCAGCGGCTCACCAGCACAGCAGTTCAGACCGCGAGCCACTGGGAGCGGCTTGCCGGAGATAAAGAGTTAATGTCAGCACTTACCTGTGCTCTGTTGAACAACCCAGCGGGGAGATAGTCAAACTTGTAGATCAGCCGCGCCTCTCTTTCTCCTTTCTCTTTGTCCAAGGCAGCAAAGTCATACTGGCAACATATAACACAAAGTCAGTTAGATGGCAGGAATAAAAATAAAATGATTAGATCACAATCCCTCTAATCCATTCTATGCATGACCTCCTCTGCGAAAAAAAACCTCCATAATGTCAATTTTTCGTTTTCAATAGCTAAGCAATTGAGAAGCGTGCTGACAAAATGAGTTGCTTCTTGGATTTGAGCCCTATGGAAATAGATACATCACGTCATATATATATATAGGTGAAGTTTTTATAATTTATAAGTATGAAATTATAAAAGGCAGGTTATACTCAAAGAATATGGCATCAATAGAAAATCTACGAATTTGACCCATATGTCGATTTTCGGCCAATATCTCCATTTGTGGATTGCGAGAAGTAACTCATTTTGTCAGCACGCCTCACAACTGTTGATGTTTTACGCCCGCCATTTTCATACTTTAACTCATTTTGGAAGCCGACAACATCAACCCTGCCTGTGAGGGCCAACAAACTCTCTCTGTGCTTCCACTTGAGTCTGAGTACAAGTAATTGTGGAATGCTTGAGCAAGTGCTCGAGCTCTCGAATCCTGAACAAAGGCTCAATGTGTTCTATTTTGCTGATGCTTAAACTAAATTTTACCAATATATGAATAATAACAATGACAGAAAATCATTAACTGAAGTATTAATAATGGTAAAAACAATAAACAAAAATATTAAAAGTGCAGAGATGATTTGAATCGGACACAATAAAACAGACGAAAAATATAAAAATGCAAAACAGCAACAAGCAAAATGAGTGAAAAGTGCAAAATCTTTGTTTCTGCTAACAGCCCACTTTAGTTTTTTTTTCCAAACTGACCTGCGGCTCTGTGTTGGGCAGCAGGCACGGAACAACGTTGGCTTCCTCACTCATCAGCGGGAAGGTCAGGTCAAACTCTTCGGTCAGTCGCAGCAGCCACGGGTGAAGGGACTCCTCGTAGTCCGACCACACGTTTTTCATGTCTGAGTACAGCAGCTTTCCTTCCTAGTGAAAAGTAAGGATGGATGGAAGGAAGGAAGGAAGGAAGGAAGGAAGGGAGGGAGGGAGGGATGGATTGATGATGGATGGATGGATGGGTGGATGGATGATGGATGGATGGATGCATGAGTGGGTGGATGGCACGATAGGTGTGCGGATGGATATGGATTAGAGGTGTAACCTCTTGTTTAAAAGCTGGCAAGCATCCTTACTCTTTGGGTTTTTAGTAAATCTTGTCTAGTGTAGCTCTTTTTAATAAAAACTTTTTAATGAACACACACGCAAGTGGAGCCCAAAACGAAAAAAATTCAAATAAAATTCTCAAAAGCACACAAAAAATGTTGGTTCCACTGATGTATTTATTTTGACGAGCGTCAGATTTCCCAGGATACCCCAGAAGTTACCTTGACCGGCCCCTCGTGGACCGTGACGATACACGCCATCACATCCACGATCCACTGTGGCACAATCACCACGTGCGAGCGCAGGAAGTTGGTGTTGAAAAACTGCACCGAGCCCAGGTCATGCAGGAACTGGATGGCCTGTACCAACTGGTCGTGGGAGGTGGAGTGGAAAAGAATGAGGAAACATTGGAGAGATAGTGGTTCAAACCTCACCTATTAGTTTTGAGTAAGAATTAATTTTGGAAGCTACTTTCCTTCTTCTTTTCCTCTCTCTCTCTATCTCTCTTTCTCTCTGTCTCATTCTCTCTCTGTCTCATTCTCTCCCTCTCTCATTCTCTCTCTCTCTCATTCTCTCCCTCTCTCATTCTCTCTCTCTCATTCTCTCTCTCTCTCTCTCTCCCCCCTCCCCCTCTCGGTCTGTTTGTCTCTTCTCTCTTCCCTAGCCCCCCCCCCCCCCCCATATCTCTCTCTCTCACCCACTCTCTCTCTATTTTAGGGTGCAATTGAAAATAAAGAAAAACATAAAATACCACTTTTTATTTGAGTCATAAAGGATCCAATCAAATTTTACCAACTTGTACCTTATTCTGAAACATGCCACACGTTCATTAATAAAAAAAAATTGGAAGATTGATTTTTTTAAAAGCCATAACGGAAAACATGATAAATATAAAAAAAATTGGAAGATTGATTAAAACAAAAAACTTCAGGAAAACATGAATACAGTCTTTCTAGGGTACCTCTGATTGGTCGAAGATGCCCGCAGCGTTTGCGACCTGGTCCACTTCCTCCCAAGGAAGAAGAGCCTTGTCCTTGTCAGCGCGGAGTCTGGGAGGATGGGAATTAAAATATACTGTCGCTGTCACAAGCAATCCACAACAGTCCAAATTCGGAGAATGTTCTATTTTTACACCTTCCCAAAGCTCTGTCAAAGATGCACCTTTCAACATCATCAAAAAGCAGTTTAATGCTATGGATAACAAGGTTTACAATTTCCTTGCTTTCCATGATTCCTGATAGTTACAACATGACAAAAGTTAGTTTCTTTGTCTGGGGTGTCATATCAAAAGGACTAAAGTGCAATGCTAGCGACACGGACAATATCATGTTTAGTTTAGTTTTAAGAAGAGTTTTACGGCACTTGCAACACAATAAAGTCAAATAAGTACTGAAGACTAGAGGTGTTATAAGAGAGTAACAAACACAAAAAAGAAGGAGAAGGAGAGATCGGGACGATAGATGTTTGATAGGAAAGAAGGAGCAAGCCACACCAGAGCACCCGCCAACCACTCACCCATATTAAGAGACTGGTCACTTTTGTTGTAAATATCATTCATGTGGGATAACGCGGGCAAAAGGATATTTTTGTCAAATACTTACCATCGTTACCACTTTTTGGAGAGAAAGAGAGAGAGAGGAAGAGTGAAACAGAGAAGGAGAGAGAGAGAGTGAAAGAAAGAGGCAGAAAAAAGAAAGAAGCAGAGAGAGAGAGAGAGAGAGAAGGAGAGAGAGAGAAAGAGAGAGAGAGAGAGAGAGAGAGACAGACAGACAGACAGACAGAGACAGAATGAGCGTAAAAAAAGTAAGAGGTTGATAAACCAGCAGTCCACTCCCCCATACTGAGAATCTAGCAGGGTACCACAAAGAAAGAAGAAAAAACTCTCACTTGTCCAGTTTCCTCTCCAAGGAGAGCCAAGCCTCAGGAATTTTTTCCCCCATATACTTCTGCTTGAGGGCGGACACCATGAGGTCGTTGCGGAGGTCTTTGATTCCCTGAAAATTGTAATGGATAAAAATAATAGACAGCATTTCGCGGCCTTAGTGCTTTCGTGTCGCATCTCCATTTTTTTAACAATGAAAATGTGACATCTTCTTATGCTCACTCTTTGTTATGAACTGTTTTCACTGTTATTAAAACTGGAGATACGACAAGAAAGCACTGGGGTCGCGACTTGCATAACGCAAATTCCTGCAAGCTCTATGTGCTTTACAGTCTATATTATTACCCCAGCAGACCTGAGAGCCTCCTGAAACAATCTCAACTTCCTAGGAAGCATACAGTGCAAGCTGCCATTTTTGTAATAGCTGCTAAAACACTAACACTAACATACTGACAAGATCTTTTGCTGACTATGACTGAGTACACATTCTCACCTGGGTGAAGTGAAGAAAACTTGGGTAAAGTGCCTTTCCTAAGGACACAACGTTGGGCCTGAGGCTCGAACCCCCGAACCTGCAATCTCACGTTCACGAGTCCTGTAACCTAGCCATTAGACTACCGAAGCCAACAATGATAACATTTAACACTATGCAGTCACACAGCCAGATGTACAAAATACCCCATCTGGTCACCCAGCCAGGAGAGTGACTGCAATGGACTTCTCAGGCCTGGTGCAGAATTGCGACAGGTGATCAGAACCGATCATTTTTACTGGTGCATTATTGCGCCAAGTAACCGCAAAGTGTTAACCGTTACAACACCATCAGGTTATTTTTAGCCATCACTGTACTTTGGTCCAGGTACTATCAGAGACCTTGACTCCTGAAGCTCAACTGATACTGATCATGTCTGTGATAATTTTGCAGACATAAAAAAAAAAAAAAATCTATACTGGTTTTGTTTGAAGTTTTAGAAGATGACATGTACTAAGTTCGTTACAGACAATTAGACAGATTGTGGTGAAAACATCCAGGAAGTACAGGAAATGTACCCAACCGGGACTGTAGGGGTTAATATCTTCTTGAACAGGGGACTCAGACTCCAGTTACCTGGGGTCTGCTAGAGGTAGAGTTTGGATGAGCCAGGGGCGCATTAACTTTCATTAAGTATAATTTCTATTTTTTAAAAAGTTTTCAAGTATTAAAAAAACAAAAACACTTCTTATTCTTCATTAATAGCAGGTCCGAACATGACTTCTCTTATCTACCCCTAGCGGTCAGAGGCCTGGCAAAGCTGCCTTTTATACAACTAAGCACGTCTTAACTGCTACACCATAGACGCAGCACGCCAGAAGCGAAAACTTTGAGCTAACAAAATGTAACTGAAGTCAACAAAATTCTGAATGGAGAGAGACTTACCTCTCCACTGTACGAGCTCACGAAGTGGAAGCCAACAATCTGGGGGAACCGTCTCTTCAGCTCTTCCATGGGCAGCTTGCCCCGCTCAACCTGGGACGATTGTGACAATTGCATAAGACACGGGAACATGAAAGAAATGATCAACCTGGGACGATTGTGACAATTACAATAAAAGATAAAAGGGGGGTGGCACATTCAACCTCATACCCCTGTACTGTACTAGTAGGAACAAATCTGTTTTATTTCTCCTTCGCTTATTCGATACTTCAGAGTACTTCTTGACTTAGGGCACTGGGAATTTCCACGTTTTCTGTTTTCACGTTACTGTTTTCATTTCTTTGTTTATTGTCAAAGAAAATCAATCTGTTTGAAAGTACACAGTATAGAATAATTTACACTACTGAGGTCACTGCTTTAAACAACATTGACGATTTCACATTAGCACTCACTTGCTCTCCCAACTGTGAGTGTGAGCTTTTTCCGAGTTCTCAAATGTAAGAAAACGTGGGCATGAGAAAGTCTACGAACTATAGCAACTTTGAAATAGGCTGAGCACTGCGCTTTTGTTCTTACATTTTTTACTGGATGGGGGTGAGGGAGAAGTGGGAATAACGTTATGTTATCATAACAACAAGCACACTAAGGAATTACATTAGCAATAAATTCTGTGCGCCACCTACCAACTCACCTTATCACAATGTGTTCCAACGACAAGGATCGGAGCCTTCGGGGCATGACACGCCACAGAGCTAAGCCAAAAGTCTAAGCCAGCGTGTTCGAATCCCAATCGGATGTTCCACAACAGTAGATACACCGCTCGATTTGACAAGAAAAACTGAAAATTGAAAACATACATAACAGAGAAATAATAATACTGCATTTCCCAACATTATTTCTGATAATTTGTTAGGGAAATCAACACAGTTATCTCCCTTAAAATGAACAAGGGCAGAGAAATATCAGGTAAACTGATGGTTCTAGAGTGCCAGGGAGAAGTTCTTTTGTAAGAGTTTTACAGCACTTGCAACACAATTAACTCATATAAGTGCCAAATAGAGGAGGTGTTGCTATATCAGAGAGTAACATATATAAAGAAAAGAAGGAGGAGAAAACAGGATGATAGATGTTTGATGGGGAAAGAAAGAGCAAACCACACCAGAGCAGTCTTGAAAGTGTTTTGAGCCGCGAATGACGGAAATGCCTTATATCAATGCCAGTATTATTATCACCATCATTATTATTATTATCACTAATACTATTATTATTATCATTATCATTCTTACTATCATCATTTTTATTATTTTACTATTATTATTATTATAAAGATCATTATTATCATTTGTATTATTATTATTATTATTAATATACTTTTTCTTCTTCTGTTTCTTTTTCTTCTTCTCATTTAAGCCCCAAAAATTATGTCCCCACAGCTGGGTGACCCGACGTCCAGTTTCTCACCTGATGCGTGTTGTAGTAAACCGTCTGGCCGGCAAAGTCCCAGACGCTGAAGTGGAGAGGCTCGTCACTGTCGTCAGTTACCTCCCCCTTGAGGTCCACCTCCTTGGAGCTGATCTTCCACTCGGTGATGTCGATGCCGTCCGTGATCTGTTCGCCGTAGTCCTGGTACGCTCGGAACGATTTGTTGGTTAAGGCCCTCACCAAACTGAAGATTTGAAACAAGAAAGAGAAAGTTGATGTATCTAAAAATAATAACAATAATAATAATGACAACAACAATAATAATAATTATAATAATGACAACAAAAACAACAGTAATAATAATAATAATTTTAATAATAATTAATAATAATAATTTAAAAAATAATAAAGATAGAAGTAATAATAATGATAATATAACAATAATAATAATAATAATTATTATTATAATAATAATAAAAATAATAATAACAGTGATACAACAAACAAGCGAAAGACATTTACTTCTCTACATAAATAACGTAAGGTAATAGAGGTCAGAAAAGGTGAAGTATCATGACACTGTTCAAGATGTCCAATGATTTTTCTCTTGCACAATGGGCGACCATCTTGGGACAGTTTCAACTGCATATGTGACACATTGCAGGGGAATCAGGCAGTCGTCAATTTTTGGGCATGTGGAGCTTTTGGTATAATCTGAGAGCTTATTCGTTTGCCTTGCTTTCAATGAAACCAATAACCATCTATCTTGAAAAGAAGTTGAGATATTTGTGATTTGAGGAGGTGGGGTCAGTGGTAAAATAAGCGATAAAACGGCTGCCAAAGTTTGGTAACGTCAATAGCTTAAGAGTCCTTAAAAACTAAAAAATTACATATTTTGTGCCTTTAATCAAAGTTTTTCAGAAAAATTCACATGAAAATGTGTTTTTATATGCACATACAAGGTTTTTGAGCCAAAAGTACAAAGTTCTATAAAAATTGCCCAACTGGCGGAAAAATGCCAATTTCTTCGATTTTCATTGTTTTGCCAAGCGCTTGATTTCACCACGTACAATGCCTCACATATTATTTTAAAAACTTGACCTGGTTTTTCCAGCTCCTCCGAGCCCCACCATCATGAGCTTGGTGCGCTTGCACGGGACAGATCCTTGCAGCAGACGTTTCAGGTAGCCAAACACTGCTATGAAGCCTCGGCGCACAACCTCCTTGGGAGGAGTTTTCAAGCTGGCGCAGTCACGGAGATGAATTTCTGAAATAGAAAGAGAAAATGTTATTTTTTTTTATTTTGGCATATTATGTTTATGATATATTTATGTAAATTTATAGTTAGTAGTCATGCAGATGAATTTCTGTAACAGAAAGAGAAAATGTGTTTTTTTTGGGCATATTATGTCTATGATATATCTATGTACAGTTGGCACAGTCACAGAAACCAATTTCTGAATGGAAAGAGATAATTTAATTTTTTTTTAGACATACTTCATCTACGATACATTTATGCGCATACTGCATATCTCTCAAAAACATGCAAAAAGTCTAGCAACTACGAACATAATTCTGCTTTAAGTTAAGCATCTAGTTTTCTTTAAAGGAAAGCATATGTGAGGCAGCGTGGTGGAATCAGGCTCTCCTCAAAATAATCAAAGAGCAGAAACTTGCATTTTTCCTCAGGTTTGTGAATTTTTATCAAATTTTTGTTTTTTGGCTCAACATCTTTCATGCCCATTAAAGTACTCATTTCTAAGTGGATTTTTCTCAAAACCTTGATTAAAAGAAAAAAAAATGTAAATGTTCAGTTACCACGGACTATTAAGCTAAGGATATAACTTATCTTTGGCGGCCATTTTCTCACTAATTTTACATCTGGAAACAGGTGACCCCCACCTCCTTCTTTCACAAATATCTTTACTTGTATTCAAGATAAATAGATATTTTTTTTCAACCAAATAAAGACAAGTGAACAAGCTTTAAGATGATACCAATAACACTACATGCCCAAAATTTGACGAGAGCCTGATTCCACCACGCTGCCTCACATATAGTTTTGCTTTAAGTTTTGCAGTTTTTGCTTCTGCTCCTCTAAAATAATGAGCTCGCATGCATGGACTCGTTAGTTTGTACCTGACACCATTGATATACTCGGCTTTGTGAGTGGTTGGCAGGTGCCCTGGTGTGGCTTGCTCTTTCTTTCCTATCAAATATCTCTCGTCCTTATCTCTCCTCCTTTTCTTTGTATTACACTCCAATACAGCCCAATTGTGTTGCGAGTGCCGTTAAACTCCTACTAAATACTTGGTTTGTCTTTACCATTATGGCATACACGTGTCGCGAAAATAGCGCCTAGATGTAGACGGCCAGTGCCTCTATAAATAAACAGGCTTCTTGCCAGGAACTTCCCACCACATTCAACGAGATGTCAAGGAAGTCTCAAGAAGAAATTTTTAAAATTCAAAGAGATCTGGTCAAGAAATTTATGCCGTTTTCGATGGCGTACCAAGAGCAATCCGACAAAAAAAAGTTTTCAAGGATTCCTTGAATTCAAGGAAGTCGCAAGAACCCTGAATATATTACTGATGGTCGGGGATACGCTAGAAGGTCAGTCCTCACCTTTGAGAGGCAGTTTGGCCACCTCAGCACTGACCGACTCCAGGAGTGGGTTGTTCATCACGTTCAGGTTCTCCAGGTTTTTCAGCTCCTGAACCATCTCAGCCACCACCGTGAACGCGTGGTACGACAGATTTAGCTTCTGCAGGGTCGTGATCTGGAAGATAGGCTCTGGGATGCCAGTTCCTGGGGAGATGAAGAGAGAGGGTGAGAGAGTGGGAGAGAGAGAGGGGGGGAGAGAGAGAGAGATAGAGACTGATACAGAGACAGATTCAACTTCTGGAGGGTGGTGATCTGGAAGATAGACTCTGGGGTGCCAGTACCTGGAGAGAGGATAAAGAATTGTAGAGAGAGAGAGGGAGAGACAGAGGAGAGAGAGAGAGAGGGAGAGATAGAGGGGAGAGAGACAGAGAGAGAGAGACAGAGAGAGGGAGAGGGAGAGAAGGAGGGAGAGAGAGTCAGAGAGAGAGAGAGGGAGAGATAGAGGGGAGAGAGACAGAGAGAGAGACAGAGAGAGGGAGAGGGAGAGAAGGAGGGAGAGAGAGAGAGAGAGAAAAAAAAGAGAGAGAGTGAGAGTGAGAGACAGAGGGAGAGATAGAGGGGAGAGAGACACACAGAGAGAGAGACAGAGAGAGGGAGAGGGAGAGAAGGAGGGAGAGAGAGAGAGAGAGAGAGAGAGAGAGAGAGAAAGAGAGAGAGTGAGAGTGAGAGACAGAGGGAGAGATAGAGGGGAGAGAGACACACAGAGAGAGAGACAGAGAGAGGGAGAGGGAGAGAAGGAGGGAGAGAGAGAGAGAGAGAGAGAGAGAGAGAGAGAGAGAGAGAGAGAGAGAAAAAGAGAGAGAGTGAGAGTGAGAGAGAGAGGGAGGGAGAGATAGAGGGGAGAGAGACAGAGAGAGAGACAGAGAGAGAGAGACAGAGAGAGAGAGAGTGAGAGAAAGAAAGAGAGAGAGAGAGTGAGAGAGAGAGAGTAAGAGAGAGGAGGAGAGAGAGAGAGCGAGGGAGAGAGAGAGGGGGGGAGAGAGAGAGAGAGAGAGAGATTTTGTTTGTTTGTTTTACAGTTTCTGTACTGAGCTCACTGGGACTCCTTTTTCAGGTATCCTGCTAACAACCTTTGTCCTGTCAGACAATCTTTGACTATGAGATCAAGGGTAAATATACAATGATGCAAAAGTGTCAGGTCGGAAGGTGATCTGGTGTGGTTTACTCCTTCTTTCCTGTCAAACATCTATTGTCGTTATCTCTCCTCCTCCTCCTTCTATTTCGTGTTTGTAACTCTTGGGTCACACTTCAAAAGTACTTGGCTCTGTGTTTCATCAGATTGCCACATAAGTGTCGTTTTGAGGGTACCAATTTTGTCAATCCCAAGATCTACACCTAGGCATGTGCTACTTACTTACTTACTTACTTACTTACTTACTTACTACCCATTACGCCATCTGGGGTTTAGGGCAGCAACAAAGGACCTCCAGCTCTGTCTGTTTCGGGCCATCTTGGTCAACGTCCCCCACGAATGATTCCAGGACTTCATTTCTGACTCTGCAGTGCGTCTCCAGGTCACTTTGGGTCTGCCCCTTTTGCCAAGGCATGTGCTACATTTACTACTTATTGTCCCCCACATAGAGATCCTTTGACCACAAATGTAGAGCACAGGGGAAAACGACCATAGGCACAAACTAGAATTGGTGAGGGTGCCATTTTTAAAAGCTTGTGGACTCATAACTTCATATTTGTTTGACTGGTGGTTTATTGTTAAGTGTTGCTGAATGGGTAATCTAACAACAATAATCAACCAACAGTTGAACAGAAATATAATTATGTATGATCCAACAATCATTCAAAATTGATACCCTCACGATTTTCAATTTGTGATTATGGTATTTTTTCCCCCTGTGTTCTTCAAATAGTTTGAGAGCTGACACAAACAAATCCATTGGTATTTGACTTAATTATAGCCGCTTTACGGTAACACCCTTCATGCACGGATGTGTGAAATTGTGGAATCCCTAGTGCACAGAAAGAGTGAAGGAGTCAGAGGAAAGAGAAAGACAGCAGCCTACCTTTATGTTTCTCCATTTTGCCAAGCCTTGGGTAGCGATCGAAGAGAGTCTGGTTGATATTGGCGATTTTGGCAGAGTTGCCAGATTTCTCCCCAAGGTTCTCTGCTTTCTCAATCATCTCCTGTCTCTCCTGGAAGAGAGAGAAAAGACGAACTTCTTAAGAAATTATTGACCCATTGACCCAAGAGGCTAGCCCAGGATAGAGAAAGGTGGAACGTGTTTGTCTGTGGCCTATACCCTGGTGCAGGGTGAGAAAGTGTTTGTCCGTGACCTATACCCTGGTGCAGGGTGATAAAGTGTTTGTCCGTGGCCTATACCCTGGTGCAGGGTGAGAAAGTGTTTGTCCGTGGCCTATACCCTGGTGCAGGGTGAGAAAATGTTTGTCTGTGGCCTATACCCTGGTGCAGGGTGAGAAAGGCAAAGATGATGATGAAATTATGTCTATGATATATTTATGTATAGTTGCCACATAGAGTATTGGGTCTCTCAGCCTAGGGTTGGGCTAATATTTCTTTCTAAGTGCGTTCACACATTGAAAACATTCACAGCGCGTTTCATTGAAGTACATTACATATGCATAATACTATATTTTACATAAACACGTGTCCATTAATTTTTAAGGTGTGATATTTTTATTAATGTAATGCGCATTGCCTTGAGCTTTTTTTTAGAAAATGGAAATGCGTAGCATAAATGATATTTTTTATTACTAGTATTATTATTAAGCAGGTTATTACATTTAAGCAGGTTACATTTAAGGATGCTATTACATTTATGCAGGTTATTACATTTAAGTATGTTCCATTTACCTGAGTGGTGAGCCGGCGGTACACCGTGTACTGGTCCAGGAAAGAGTTGACGCCAGCCGCGGAGAAGGAAAAGTTGGACGGCATCAGAGGCAGACCGGCCATGTAGAAGACTGTGAGAGGCAGGGCCGAGAGCTTGGGCGGAATGAACTCGATCAGATTGTGGGACACGCTCAGCTTTTCCAGGCTGGTCAGAGGGCACACAAGTTCAAGGTCGACAGTACCCACGTTGTCCGCTAACAGCTTTGTAAGGGAGGTCAGCGAGGAAACAACTTTTGGGAGAACTTCCAGAGGGTTGCTCGAAACATCCAAAATCTGTTGAAATACAATAAGTACCAAAAAGAAAATCATAAAAATAGAAAAGATCATAGTTGTTTTAAGAAAACTTCACTCAAGAAAAAAGAAATCATGTTTCAAGCATTGGAAAACAGAGATGAAAATATGCAGAAGCATAAAGTTCAAAATGTTGCATGCTATATCACTTGTCCCAGTAAAAAAACATCCGCAAAAAAATCTTAACTTTTCCACTGTACTTTGGTAAACACTGTCAAGAAAATTTTTGCATGTTGAGAAAAGTTGCATTTTTAGACTTAATAAGAGCATTTGTATCCCGCCTTTCCCCACAGCATGGGCCCAAGGCGTACGACATAGGAGATTAAAAACACATTCATACTAACACAATACAAATTCATCATGTGCGCACTTTTTGACAGCAACATTCTTTCAGATAATAAAAAATGCTCATACAAAAAGGCAAAGGTACAGTCCATTAATTAAAATATTTCTTAAATAAAAGTGTTTTGAGTCCCCCTTTGAAAGTATCAAGTTTTATTTCGCTCCTCAAATCATGAGGGAGAGTGTTCCAAACCGTTGGCCCAGGAAAAGAAAAAGCTCTCTCATCGTATTTCTTCAGTGGCACACGAGGTGTTGAAATTAGTCTAGAGCCACTGGATCTTATGGCCCAAAAAAATCTCTGGTCTAGAAAATATTTTCTGAAACCAGAATATAAGTTCACATCTTGGACTTTGACTACATTCTCACATAAAAAAACAAACAACAAACAAACCCCAAATCAACTTAGCTCTCTATCTCTGAGGCCTATTTTGATGCAAAACCTGAAAGTGACATTCACGTCACTGAAATGGTCAATAAATCAAAACAAATTGTGAAACGTGCTGACAAAATGAGTTACTTCTCGGATTTGAGCCTTATGGAAATAGATATATCACGCTTACAGGTGAAGTTTTTATAATTTGTAAATATGAATAATGGAAGGCTCATATGACCTTAGCAGTTGCGAGCGCCGTAAAACCCTATACTACAGTACAGAAAATCTACAAATTTGACCCTAGTGTCATTTGTTTGGCCAATATCTCCATTTGTGGATTGTGAGAAGTAACTCATTTTGTCAGCACGCCTCACAAACAAAAGAAGATCACAAAGCTACCTTCAGAGAGCTGAGCTGTTTTATGTCATCCGGGAAACCAGACAGCTGGTTATTGTTCACATGCAACTCTTCCAGACAGGAATTTTCCCCCAGAGATGGCAATTCTGAAAGAGAATATGATATGGGATGAATTCAAACTGTAACTCTTTCTGCGCAACTCCAAGATTTATTACTGATATGGTAAAACCTCCACTGCAAAACTGATCCTTTTTTGATGCATAAGCCCACTCTGTAATATATATATTATATTTTTCTTTTATATGGCATTATTCTAAATACCTGTTCTTTCTTTTTTTGCCTTCAACTGGACACACAATGTCTACTTTAATTAGTAAAAATCATGTCTATTATTTGCTTCACTTAATAATAAAAATAATAATAATAATAATAATGTTAATAATATAATAACAGGCCCTAATAATGATAAAAAGAATAATAATGATAATGATAATAAAAATAATACATGGCACGTTTATATAGCACTTTCCATAGTTTTCAACCCTCAAAGCGCTTTACCAGATAGGTTTCTATTATTTGGGATCCTCATAAGACATGATACACACCTGAAATTTTGCATCCATTGAGCCAGAGCTGTGTGAGGTTGAGGAAATGGTCAAACAAGTCCCCGGGCAGAGAGGTCAGTGGGTTGCTCTCCAGATGAAGGGAGTAGATATTTGGGGCAAGACCCTGGCCAGGAGATTGAGCACAAAATTGGTGAAAAGTTGGGTTAAAAATAAGTTCTTTTTTAAAAGTCAGTGTATGCACTGTTTTATAATATATCAACACCTTATTTTTCTGTTTGTTTGAGTAAAGAGAAGAACATTGATGTTATAATAGTCATTTAGTGTTGGGAAGACGTAAGGTAGACAGTAAGGTTTGACGGCGCTCGTAACTGCATAAGGTCATATGAGTGCCAAGGGGTGGATGTCAACAGAGAAGTCCAAATGGGGAATCAGGCTTACTCTGCTCACCTCTCTAGCCTCAACAGCACGAAGTCGATAGTAAGGATAAGGAAAGAAAAAGCAGCAGACAGAGAGACAGAAACAACAGAGGGAAAGTAAAGAAGTAGGATCTACCAGTGGAGCACTCCAACCAATCGCTTTGTCAACAGCTCGCGGGCAGTTGGTGGGTGCTCTGGTATGGTTTGCTTTTTCTATTCCTATCAATATTCACTGCCGTCCTTTACGTCCCTCCTATTTTATGTTTGTTACTCCCTTGTAACTCTAATCTTCTTCAGCACTCATATGACCTTGAGTGTTTCAAGAGCAGTAAAGCCTCTATCAAACCTAACCAGACCTATAGGAAATTGACAAATATACAAACTAAACAGTTTGACATTGGATTATTTACAGCAGTCTTGTAATTAATTGCAGATGTTTTTACATTCCTACAGACACTATTTAGACCAATTGGGAGGCAGGCAGGTACGTCCCACGCTATAAGGGCCAAGCGACAGCGGTCTTGCTTTCAGTCTGCACTCACATTGAACTTATCGATCGAGAGTTCTTGGATCCCCGAGTTCTGAGAGAAGGCCATTCGGTGACCTTGACACATGACCTCGGTCGTACCCTGTGAGATACTCAGCTGCTGACCAAGGCCGTCGCTGGCCGATTCGAGCGAGGTCTGGAGGAGCTCGGTGATCTTCCCAACCTGCTCTGGCGTTGGATTCTGGAACAGAGAGATAACAATCAATAATAAAAAACAAAATAAACCTGAAATTGTACGTTCAGTCAAGGAAAAACGAGAACAAGAACAAGCAGAGACAGAAGGCGCTCATATGCCCTTATGCAGTTGCGAGCGCCTTAAAACCTCTACTTAAACGAAACAAAGAGACGGAATACTATCATCTTGAGCGACTTCCTGAGCTTGAAATTGGATGGGGCGCCTGCAGAAGTTCAAGACTTAGTGGGAGGAGCTGAAGGATATGGAATCAACCATTGCTTGGAACCGTCAGGATCTACACACTTCGAGATGTGCTTCTTCAGGGGACGGAGCACTTATCGGGATGCCCCTTGTGCAGTGATGTCGGTCCTTCACACAAGTAAACAAGTAAACAAGTTAACAAGTAAACAAGTAAACAAGTAAACAAATAAACAAGTAAACAAGTAAACAAATAAACAAGTCAACAAGTAAACAAATAAACAAGTCAACAAGTAAACAAGTAAACAAATAAACAAGTAAACAAGTCAACAAGTAAACAAGTAAACAAATAAACAAGTAAACAAGTCAACAAGTAAACAAGTCAAATAAACAAGTAAACAAGTCAACAAGTAAACAAGTCAAATAAACAAGTAAACAAGTCAACAAGTAAACAAGTCAACAAATAACTAGTAAACAAATAAACAAGTAAACAAGTCAACAAGTAAACAAGTCAACAAATAAACAAGTAAACAAGTCAACAAGTAAACAAGTCAACAAATAACTAGTAAACAAATAAACAAGTAAACAAGTCAACAAGTAAACAAGTCAACAAATAAACAAGTAATCAAATATCAGTCTGGGAAAAGAGAGCAAGTTAACTCTTTTAACCCTGAGTTTTTTTCCACCGTTTCCCGCAGTTTTTTCTACAGTCCCCTAAACCTGGTGCACTATGTCTCTTTACAACCCCAAAAACTTGCCTCCAACTTCTAAATGGCAGACACAAAGGCTTAGTCATTACTAAAAAACTTGGCTTGGAAATAGTTCTGTAAAAAAAGCAAAGACTAGCACTAAATGAATTTGAAACGAAACAGTTGTCACAATTGTCACACGCTCCCAGCATCCAATGGAGAACAGGGTTATTACCGCCGGACGCTCCCAGTGCCCTATGAGACTTAACCCTATCCGTACGCCCTGGGGTCATTTTGTACCCCCGGGGTTGCATTCTTCACATTTTAGAATACTTCTAGTGTGAAGATCTCTTTGAAACTTTCAGTATTTCTCAAAAAATCTTTTTGACAGACGGCTATGCAAAGCGTACGAATCGGATTAACGAGTAAATTTCCTCTTTGGAAAGTGGTGGCACAGAGTTCCCCAAGTCGTATGGATACGATAATAAAACACGACGTACGGATAGGGTTAAGTGGTGGCACAGAGTTCCCCAAGTCGTATGGATACGATAGTAAAACATGACGTATGGATAGGGTTAAAGAGTTAACTCACTCAGCCCCGATCCTGAGATAGTCGGGTTGTACACTTCTGCCCTGGGCCTTCAACCCGACAGTATTGGGGAGGAAATTTCTATTGTTTAATAATGTAAACGCACATCTAATGAGAACAGACTATACTTAATAAGTGACCCCTGGCCATTTCTTTATAAGAAACAGACTATTACAAGGGTCAAGGTCGCTTGCTTGACCTATAAGTGAAAATAACTTAGCGCGTGGGAATGAAGCGGGAAACATTTCGAGTAATTTTCTTTAGTCAGAACATAACGTTTTATGTTACTGTTGTACGTTGTACTGCTTTGTAAAGCGTTCAGAGCCTGTGTACTTTAATTGGGGTTGAGCGCTATATAAACCTCATTTATTATCATTATTAAATGTGAACGAGCCTTGGTCTTTCTTCCGGGCAACTTTTTAGTGTGTGTTGCTGACCTTTTTTAAATGGCAATATCTCACAGATTATCTAATATTTTTTAATTTTAAAAACAGTAATAAATCATGTAATAACTAAACAAATTGTGTGTGAAATATTACAGCGATTGAAGTTGATTTAGTATTTTTTCAGATTTTACAAAAACAACTAAACTCTTTATCTTCGTGGGAGAGGTAAACCCACTATGCCGGGCCCCTTCTTTTGTACTAAATCGAAAAATGACCAAAACGTCACTAAAAAAGGGTCATTAAATAAAAATAAGTCAACCTATTTTGATAATTCTTCATCTAATGAAAGAACTCCAGATTCCCAATAAAAGAGACCTTTCTCGGCAAATGTCAAAAATAGTAATTGGACGTCAATATCGTCGTAAAGGAATATGCTCGAACTGTTGTCAGCGGTTCACTGGTACAGCGGTTCCGACCGCGAGCTGCTGGGAGCGGCTTGCCGGAAATAAAGAGTTAAACCTCTCAGCCAAGCCAGTAGACGGGGTCCTTGGCCCCAAGGCTGAGAGAGTTAAGTTACACAAGTCCAAGTTAAAGCAGCCCTTCTCACATATTATGATTTAAAATGTGTTGATGCAGGCGTAAAACATGCATGCAGTTTTATGTTTATGTGCACAGAAGTGTGTGGAGGGGAGGACGCGTGTGTGTGTGCGTGTGTGTGTGTGTGAGAGAGTGTGTGTGTGTGTGTGTGTGTGTGTGTGTGTGTGTGAGAGTGTGTGTGTGTGTGTGTGTGT